TATACCTCTCTCTTCTTCATCCTACCCCTCCCCCTCTGTTTTCCACACTCAGTCTCCTTCTCGCTTCGTCCCCTGCTATTCTCTCGATCCTCCTTCCCCACCCTCTCTAAACTCATTCTATTGCCTCATTCGCCGTCTTGCTCATCGTGTTCCTTCTCCCTCTCTAATTGCCTCCAACCCTCTCTCTCTTGTTCCTTACTGAAATACTAGTGTTAATGTTTGTCACACAATAGTATACATGGATACATGGAGACACAATGTAAATCAAGAGGCTATGTAGAGCGGTCCAATGATGGTTAGACCTGTATGGGAGGGGGAATGAAATGTTTCCCCGACATCACTGTTTTGGGGAAAATATATCGGGAATCCAACCCGCCCACCTTCAGGCAAGAGAAACAAATTAAAATGATATAAACTTGAATAAAAGTAAACGATATAGGTGATGGAAAAATGTTACTTAGGACCTAGCAATTATAATTTTCTGCTATATTAATATATTATCCTCGTCTCCTCAAGTAGAAAACAAAACCCGTTACAATACAAAATATGGGGCACTTATCCCTCTTCACCAACCCCTCCCCGAATCAAAGAATATGTACAACTCATGGTTGGGAGGAACAAAAATTGATATTCCTCATAAAAGGAAAGATTCTCTCGTAGGAATAACGTCAGGATCGTCGGCATCCCCGAGTCTCCAACAGAGAATTGCGTCACGGTAGTTGAGGAGATCTTGAAGGAAAAGTTTGGGATGGCGGTCAAAGTAGAAAGGGCCCATAGAGATGGGAAAAGCGTCCAGGACCGGTCACGGCATATTATGTTCAAGACCTTGTCCTATCGCGACAAGATTGACGTCATGAGAAACTAGCGCCTGAAACTCGCCAAGGAATCATATTACATGACGGATGATCTCACACGCGAAGATTTAACAGAGAAGAGGAAATGGTCCAAGGCTGCACAAGACTTGTATAAGAACAATGTCAAACTTCGATTCTTCGCCGGCAAGTGGCGAAGCACAGGTGGTGCTCCGTATGACTTCACAACCTTGGAATAGACACTTTATTTCTCCCAAGCATACTGGTAACGTTATTCCTGTTTTCTATGATTTTACTGACAATGTTATATAAGACTGATAATACATGTTATACAATGTATTACTATAATACCGTGTATGTACTGCATCTACAGTGTTATATCTCTTACGAACCTCCTTCCATCCTCCTATCTTTCATCTTCTCTTCTTTATCGTTACTTCTCCGTATCCTCCCTCTACCTGTTTTCCCAGTTTAAGAGAGAATATTTTGCGTGTATATTATAACGTTACGGAGAGACTGTAGTTCACTCTACTATAGATTAAACAAACTCGGCCTGATATTTCGTATGTTTAAATTTGAATGTATCTGTATATCAGATATGTGCTTCCTTATGTATTTTTTTTGGATTTCTAGACATCGTAGGGTGCATGCTTATATATTTATTACTTCATACCAGGTCATGGATTCATTCATTACTTGTACTCTTAAATGATTAACGTTAACGACGTAACTATTAACGAACAGCAATCTGTCGATTGTCAATATTACTTACCAGAAGAATTTAATTCTACACTTACGGATAATTATTGTACAAATTTTGGTCTATTTTACTCTAATGCCAGAAGCTTGGTTAAAAATTACGATAAAATTTGTTCATTGTTGTCTGATATTACATTTCCATTCTCTGTAATTGGAATTACTGAAACCTGGTTGACTGATAACTCTCCGAACTTATTTGAAATTCATAATTATTCATTTTTCCACCATGACAGACAAACTAAAAGAGGAGGTGGAGTCGCCCTTTATATTTTACAAACATTATCATATAAAGCTAGGCTAGATGTTCACCTTCTGAATAATAGTGCAGAATTACTTTGTGTCGAAATCGATATGGGAAAAAAAAAAATATTATTATATGTGTAATTTACCGACCTCCAAACAATAATAATATAGACCTATTCCTCTCTGACATTGATACTTTATTACATAACCTTAATGACGAAAATAAAGTTATATGTTTAATGGGCGACTACAATATTGACCTTATGAAGGATAATAATAACACCAACCGATTACGTACACTCATGTACTCTAATGCACTTTTCCCAACAATTGATAAACCTACACGGATAGATACCCGCTCATCATCCTTAATAGACAATATATTTATTAATATAGATATCGGATTACTTAGGTCAGGTTTAATATACTCTGAGATCTCAGATCATCTACCACTGTTTCTAATACTTGAAAAAATACTTAAACCTCCAAAAACGAACAAAAAAGTTAAAGTCCGAAGATTTACTGAGCGGAATATATCTCGACTAATCGAAAACTTAGAATCCGAAAATTGGGAAGATGTTTTATCGTGCAATAATACAGATGATGCATATTGCTTATTTTGGACAAAATTTGAATCGTACTTTAATACATGTCTCCCAAAGCTTAATAATAGAGGTAAATATAAACAGCCTATTAACCCATGGGTTACGAAGGGAATTCTCACATCAATGAGGAAAAGAAACAAACTATATAAACTTAGTTTAAACCACCCTACCCCTTCACATATAAGAAGTTATAGGAAATATAGAAATAAGCTTACCAGTACCATAAGGCTATCCAAAAAATTATATTTTTCAAACAAACTAAAAAATGCTGAAGGTAACATATCATCTACATGGAATGTCATTAAAGAACTGCTTAATAAGAAAAGTCGTACACCTACTCAACAAACCTTTAATATAAATGGTCACAAAGTAGATGAGCCAGATGAAATAGCAAATTTGTTTAATGAATATTTTGTTAACATAGGCCCTGACCAGGCTTCCAAAATCGATAGACATAACTATGACTTTAAGGAATTTCTCCCAGAATCAACTTACCCTTCGCTCTTTTTATATCCGACAGATTTTATTGAAATATTAAGTATTGTTCGCTCATTAAAATCCAGTCATTCTCATAGCTATGATGAAGTTAGCACCCATTTGCTTAAAAAATTATAGGCAGTATCTTATCACCTCTAGTTCACATTTTCAATCTTTCGATGTCTTCTGGTGTTGTTCCAGCCTCTTTTAAGACGGCTAAAGTCATACCAATCTATAAAAAAAAAGACCCCTCTTCTATGTCGAACTATCGACCAATATCCATATTACCAAGTTTCTCTAAAATCCTCGAAAGAATTGTTTACAACAGATTATATAAATTTTAACTCAAAACGACTCGCTGAACCCAGATCAGTTTGGTTTCAGGAAGTTCCATTCAACTGATTTAGCACTACTCCAACTATTCGATAGAGTATCAAATGCCTTGGCTGATCATAAACATGTCATAGGCATATTCATGGATCTCAGCAAGGCATTTGATACTCTTGATCACACTATATTATTGTATAAATTAAAGCATTACGGTGTACGAGGTAAAGCACTTGATTGGTTCGAAAATTACTTGTCATCAAGAAAACAATATACTTTATTCAATTCAGTTTCTTCTAACGTATCATCTATTAAATGTGGAGTTCCGCAAGGCTCCATACTTGGGCCACTATTATTTTTGATATATGTCAACGATATTTCTAATGTTTCACCAATTCTACAGTATATATTATTTGCCGATGATACAAATGTATTTTATTCACATTCCGATTTAAATTCGATGATCGCAACCATGAACACTGAATTACCTAAGTTATCGAAATGGTTCAAAAGCAACATATTATCATTGAACCTAAAGAAGACCAATTTTATTCACTTTAGAAACTCAAGAAATCACAATATTTATAACTTTGAGCTGCTTGTCGATAATGTTCCAATAGAAAAAAAGTCATCAACGAAATTCTTAGGTGTATATATAAATGAAAAATGTAACTGGAATGATCATGTGAATTATATCTCTACCCCTATTTCTCGCAATATTGGTATACTATTTAAGCTAAAATACTTTTTGCCAACACATGTGCTTAGTATGCTATATAATACACTGGTTTTACCATATATTTCTTACTGCAATATCATATGGGCTACTCATAAGTGCAATACTAATCGTATATTACTGTTACAGAAAAAAGCAATTCGAGTTTGTACCGATGCAGGTTATCGCGACCACACTGACCCTTTATTTGCCACATTAAAAACTCTAAAAATAAGTGATATACACTACATGCAAAAATCTGTGTTCATGTTTCGACTTAAATCCGGCAATCTTCCCCCATCACTAGTCATTTTATTCCAACATAATTTTAATTTTCATCCTACCCAACCAGGCATTCCAATGACTATCACCTATTTAACGCCAAAACAGCCTTAGCTCAAAACTCAATTAGACATTCTGGCCCTGATACCTGGAATGCACTACCCCCTGAAATAAAAACGATGAATACAATGCTATCCTTTAAAAGAGCGGTGAAAAAGTTTCTTATTGCTCATTATCTTTAAATCCATCAACAAAATAAATTCTCCTCGTTTACCCATCGTTACAAAACTCGATAATTTTCTGTACTGTTTACTTTTTTTTGCTTCCATTTATTGAAACGTTGATTATAACCTTCCATGACCTGGTATGAATACACGTATGAATAAAGAGTGGCCTACTTGGGATACTGAATAAACACTGTCTTCTATACAAACATTTCAAGGCTCTGACTCGCAGGCCCAGGTTTAAAACCAGCTGGCTGATCTTACTTTCACATTCTTACTGTCCGAACCTTGAGAGTCTTCTCATTCTATTGTATCCCAAGTTGGCCACTCAGTATTCAAATTTGCATTTCTTTTCTTATTTAAAATCTTTATATATCAATTTGAAATCCAACTACCACATAAGTCTGTGAATATTGATGTGCATCCCCTCTTTCTTTTCTCTTCTTTTTTCTGTCTTTTCCCCCTTTTACCAATATTTTGTTCTTCCATATTTGTATTATTATGTATCCTTTGAGGGTAGTCATACTATCAAGCTTTGCTTATTTTGTCAACCCTCCTGTTTGATGTTCTCGATTAGTTACACCCAGCCTTACCTTATTCTACATACATTCTTTTGTCATGTGTAAATTTGCAATATTTGTTTGTTATATATTTGTAAAAATGCAAAAGAAAAAGAAAATCAAACAGAAATAAATAAATCAAATCAAATCAAATCAAACGATGACTTGAATTCTCTCAAAAATGTTACTGATCATGCTGAGCTTATAATGCAGTCGCTTGTCTTCAAACATTTTTTATACATGAAAAAGCCCCGGCTACTGAGTGGCCGGTGGCCTTCGATCACCCTGCCCAATTCGCGTTCCAGAGAAGAACAAAGTCCACACGAAGAAATAAAATTCTCGACAAGAGTCAAGTGTTGAAGTGGATAGTAACTTTATTACAATTTATTACATACAATCACGAAAAGTCACATCTATGGGCTGGACGCCCCGAACTCTGCTAAAACTTTAGCACCTCATGGCGGCAAAGGAAATGGAGTATGAAACAAAATGAGGAAGTCATCCGAAAAGTAAAAGCTTGCGCCAATTCAGAAACTGCTTCCCATTTTATACTTTCTGAGACGTGTTGCCCCTTAAATGGGCGTGTCACTACAAGGCATTGCGTCAAATTAATCCCTGGAACCATATACACCCATATTAAAAGGAACTTCATTAATTTTGCTAAATTAACCTCCAAAGTTGAGCTCACCGGACCCACCATTACTCCTCTACAATCCATTGATTGAGTTTATGTGTATTGCAAGTAGTCCACAGTCAGGAGGGTCACAAACCCCTCTACATGTACATCCACTATCACACCTTGATTCTTGAAGAGCCATGTTATTTGAGATGAACTCGGTAGAGGTATCCACATTGTTTTCGAGTTGCACGATCCTTTTGGTGACTGCTCCCCTTCAGCTACAAGTACAGCAAAGTCCAATGGCATCCTTGTACGCAATTCTGACAAGCCGGCTATTCATGAATAAAATATAAACTATTTTCAAATAGTATACAACTTTAAGAAGTAAAGCTGACATCATCAGTGTATTTCTTCTTTGTTTTCTTCTTGTTCTACACCTTCTAGTAAGTAATCTTCAAGGGCTATTAGTTTTATATAAACATATTGTTCGCTCGACAGGAGTACATTCCTTATTTTCCATGCTTATCAGCCCAACGACAGATCCCAGATTATTATAATAATACATGGTCTTCATGGTCTGAAATGAAATTACTGTATTACCAAACATGCCTTTCGTTACTAACATACTACGTTTGTGTAAAAGATCTAATTAAACATTCAGACCATTGTTTTAAAATGGCATTCACAGAGAAATCATAGAATTGAATTCCAAAAATACTTGACATCTGCAACTTTACAGTGTAAAAATCTCATTCTGATCTGAGTTGTAACAACCAAAGGTGTCCAATCATTTTTTTAATTTTTTTTACTATTAGTATGCAAACATATTTTTCTTTATCACACTTCTCGGGCAACTACCTCCAGGTCATCCAAGATACAGCCATATGACATATTTAGATCTTGTACTGCTAGGCTGACCGCCCTACCACCCCCATTTTTGTTTAAAATCACCAATCCAGACGTTGAACTTGGGTTACTGTTGTTAAGAGAATATATTGTGAAAGTGGGATGGGTTGCATGTGGTAAGGATGTGTTGGTTAACAATTGCAACAGAAAGTTCTCGCTCTTCTATGGGGCGACTTACTTCAGACACTGTCATCTGGCCTCCAAGCTTTAGACAGCAAGGTCCTTGTCTACCATATCATCGTGAGCTTGTCATTCTACCGTTCATTTGCATGAAATACATTACATGTACAGGCACCTGTTTGTATAGAGACATAAAATAAACTCACTTTTATGGCATGTTCATGAAAGCAATGTACAGTACTAATTATAAAGTGAACAGCAGGGTAGGGTTCTTGCAGAATTTCTAGAACTCGCAGTAAGGGTGTAATAAAATATAAACTTTGAACAATACTGGTATGTAGAAAGGGATTTAGGGTAGCCCGAAATTGTGTCCGGCAATGTTTAAAGAGCTACACAAAGAAAATTCACTAACAACTGATAATTAGAACAAATTACATATGGATGGAAAGATTTTCTCTTGAAAAACACGAATAATTTGCTGAGAAATCATATAGATATCATGGAAAGGCGTAAAATGCAATTTTTCAACACACTTCTTAGACCCCAAGCGCCCCCGAACGTAAGCCAAACACACGAGCGTAGCGAGCTCTGAATAGTGACGTCACACACTGGACAAACAGCTCAGTGCCGTGGAGCAGTATGTAGCTAGCCAGCCATGTCCCGTATGTGACGTCACAAATATTGACGCTCTATAAAGGACCGTTGATTAAGGCAGAAAATCTGGATCTCAAAACTAACATTTTTGAGAGTTGATTACTGCGGGCCCCAAAGATATTTTGAAGAAAAGAGTTGTTGTATTTGATCAGCAAGGCTTCCCCTTCGCAATAATATGAGTTGTGCATCAATTCAAAACACTTTTGATTCTTCGTGTGGCTACTTTAATACATTTAGGTTTGACAATATGTTTAGCAATGGATCCAGGATTAAAGTTAAGAATTCATTTTGTGTTACAACATGACCAGTAAATAAATGCCAATAGAGCACGTTGTAAAAATTGCTGAATTCTTTTAACTGGTAATACAGTGCTACATGTTTCACAAACTGCAGGCCAGTGTGTTTTTACTTTATAAAATCTATTGTAAATGATACTGTGTTGTATACTTTTTTCCCTTCCACTCTTCATCATGTTGCTGCTTTCACAATACAGAGGAAGATTTTAAAACTACCATTGATGAGTAAGAGATACATGCAGCTCCACCAGCACCTGGAAAATCCAGTTGTACGACACCTTCTCCTGAGACAATTGCTTCACATAAATTTTCTACACTATTAAACTTCATCCCTAGGCCTAACCCTCAACCTAAACCACCTTAATCCCAATTCCAACCCTCAGTCTAACCCTACACCTTTGACAAAATAAAGCCTAGAGTAGTTGTTGCAGGAGCAAATGTTGAGTTACTAAAAATGCCATGACAGACTCATATGCTATGAATTTATCTCTGTTTCTTTCCCTTATTTGTTTAAAAAAACATTGTAATATACATTATGAATTACCAGTCCATTGTGCTTCGCTCATATATTGCCAGGCACAAGAGTCCATCGCTTTGAGGTAAGGGGTAGAACATCAAGACTGGAAGTGGAACCTCAAGGCACCCCATGATCTCTCAACAGCAAGGCCTTCCTCTCAATCCCTGGAACAGAATTATACAAATATTCAATAAATATTAACCAAATATGTAAGAATACACAAAAATTGCATTATTTTTTTTTCTTTCAGTTGTCTTCAATGTTTACTTTCTTTTTCAGCAAAATTGGATAGTCAATTATTTTCTTTTTGCTTGTCATTCTGTTTCGTGTATAGGACTCTCCCCCCATCCCTTCTTCATGGCCTTCAAATGTTAATTATAAAAAAATATATTGTTAAAGTTAAAATACACTTAAATAAACACTACAGCAACTTTTTAGTAGACATCTTGTTGCACACATACATGTAGCCACCCCTGAATGGATACTTCTCAAACCAGCCCTTGCATACCCCTCCAACTTGGCCTTATTTAATGCCCTCACCCATTTACAAATTTCCTTTTACTTGACAAACTAAACAGATCAAGTTTTAAAAAGTCCAAGAATTTTTTTTTTTTTAAATAAAAATAGGTTTACCTTCTCGTGGTGGTCTGTTTTCTCCAAGACATTCTTGTTTCAGGCACATACTCAAAGAAGCAAGCATTTGGTAATACACTCTGTATATTTCCTGTAAAAGAGAGGGGGAAAATTTATTCTTAAAATAGCTTGGTTCACATTCAGACTCAGTGACTGAAAACAACAGTCACTGCTACAATGTTTGCAGTCTAAAGACTAAGAGTAGAGACAGAGTCTTGACGTAAACTAAGAGACATAGAGTCAAGACTGCGCCAAAACAAGATCAATACTCTAGAGTAAATTTAGAAACCACTAGCATGACTAGGCACGAGACTGCACTACACTGCAGAGTGCAGTATACTTCTTCTCCTTCTTGAAGATAATCTGCCTCCTATCCTTCAGTACCGGTACTGAAGATTCTTGCAGATGCCGTATATTTATATATATATTTGGCCTGAGTGGGCTGTGCAGGTAGACCACTACATCAGGTTTTCCCCTATTCTTATACGAATAGTGCCGTGGGTTCTTAAGTTGCAAGGGTGATGACTATCCTGTACATGGGGTCTCTTTTTAACATCCTATCCGAGAGATGGATTGTTTTCCACGTAACATAGCCTGCGTTTATGAAACAACAAGGAGAGGGGCATGGTAACGCACAATGCTTGCTTCAGTCATCCGCCTGGGTGAGATTCGAACCCAAGATCTTTGGGCCGACAGGCAGACGCTTCACCGACTGAGCCAATTTGCTCCTAGTCCTCCTACTGTCTACCGACTAGACTCTAGATTACTTACATTTTTATTAGGTGGTCTGTTATCAACAGATCACCTATTGATTTCGTTAGAATTTTCTTTCTTTCTTTATTTATTCTTTATTCTTTATTAGGTGGTCTGTCAACGACAGATCACCTATTGATTTCGCTAGAATTTTCTTTATTCTTTCTTTCTTTATTTTTATTTCTTCCGTACACTTTTTTGTACACACGTTTACTCGAAATTGACATGGTCAATTTCCTTCAAATTTCTGTCAGTTATCAAGCCCTATGATTTCAAGTATAATTAACTTTTTCAAGTTCATGGGGTCATCGTGACGTCATCCAGGCGCCATTTTGTAAAAATCAGGTCATTATCATATCTCGATAACGAGTCATCAAAAATCAACCATATTTGGTATACATCAACTTCAGGTCAAAGGTCAACGAAAAATGTCAAAAAATTCTGAGCGCGCACCTCGACGCGCACGTACGCGCGCATTAAAGTTAAAAATGGTCAAATTCGTTCAAAATTAATTTTGCATAGGTTTCAGACCATTTTAAGCATTTTCAAAATTTGCGCGCGCGTAATTATGCGCGCGCGTTTCCGCGCGTATCCGCGCGTCCTGGCATTTTGCAACATAGAATCGCCAAATTTTTTCTGTTATCATATTTATTACATTTTTCCAAGCATTTTGATACCTTGTTTACCTGTTTCCGACCAGTAATACCGCAATTAGCGGCTGTCAAAGTTGAACGCACGCGCCGACCTGCGCTATCTGTATCCACAATACATGGGCAAAAACATGCCTATACAAAATTCATTTTAACTCTTCAGAATTGATAGATAACCCCCAATTTCTTTCATATTTAAATAGATTATGAGTTGGAGGTATGATTTCATGTCTCATTTGACCCTCAATTAACTCATGACGTCATCATAATGGCCTCCGAACTCAAAATTTCAATTTGCATATTATGACGTCAGCAGATTTTTGGAAAAATTGATTGTATCTCTGTAAATATTGATCAATTTTGTTTCAAATTTTGATATGTTCTACCTGAGAATATTCTCTACAAATACAGTCACCACGAATTTTCATTTTGACAATGGTATCATGGCGTATTTTTGCGATTAAAGGAGGCATGTCAATTTTTACATTTTGCGTGTATTCTCTATGGGACATGACTTTTTCTCAAAACTGGATTCTACATTCTCGTCTTTTGCGAGCAATATCTCCGTCGTTGTATCTTTGTTTACGCTGAGCTTTGAGTATGTTGTAGCTGAGACAATAAGCTATCACAAATGTGCCCTTTATTTTTCGATCAGATGCCGGGATCATGCTCATATTTCACTTACAAAGTGGGATTTGAGAATACAGTTTTCAGTTTACGTGTAATCTCTATTGGAAATGTTTTGGTATATCGGTAACGCACTTGACTTCCGACCTCGAGGTCCCTGGTTCGTGTCCGGGCGTTTCCAACAATTTTTTTTCTTCACTTTTTTTTCTTTTTGACCTTTCACTGTACCATCTCCTTTGAATATTAAAACACGTACAATCGCAAATAATGTAATAAACAACCATATTTACTTTAATATTACCCTATTATCACTTGATCCATTACTTTTGGCGTGTAATCCTTATGGGAGATAATAATAATAATAATAATAGCCTAATAGTCCACTCCAAATTTTATTAAACCGAAACGGAAATTCTTTTTGCCCAATTGATCGTGAGCCCGGCAGCCACTGAGCAGCGCCAGATCGACGTTGCTCTATCCCTTATTGTTGAACGCCAAACAAGGTAGCAACAACTCCCATCTTTTAACGTCTTTTGGTATGACGCGGCCGGGGTTCGAACCCATGACCTCCCGGTTGTGAGGCGGACGCTCTACTGACTGAGCCAACACTCCGGTACAATGACTTTTTCTCAAATCTGGATTCTACATTCTTGTCTTTTGCGAGCAATATCGCCGTTATTTCGGCTTGATTTTTGTTGATTTTGGAGTATGTTGTAGCTGAGACTATATACTATCTAAATGTTCTCTCATTTTTTTTCAGTCTGATGTCATCGTGGTCTGTTGATGATAATCATCAACATCATCATGATCATCATCATCATCATCGTCATCCCCATTACTATCAAGATCATCATCATCATGATCATCATCATGATCATCATTGTTTACATGTCTATATAACTTCTCCCTTTCTCAATATAGTAAATATTATAATCTATCATAAGACTTGAAGACAGACCACCTAATTCGTCCCTATGACGAATTAAATTTCTAGTTTATTTTATTTCTTCCGTACACTTTTTTGTACACACGTTCACTCGAAATCGACATGGTCAATTTCTTTCAAATTTCTGTCAGTCATCAAGCCTTATGATTTCAAGTTAAATCAACTTTTTCAAGGTCATTAGGTCATCGTGACGTCATCCAGGCGCCATTTTGTAAAAATCAGGTCATTATCATATCTCAATAACGAGTCATCAAAAATCAACCATATTTGGTATACATCAACTTAAGGTCAAAGGTCAACTATAAATTTCATCAAATTTTGCGCGCGCACCTCGACGCGCACGTACGCGCGCATTAAAATTTTAAAATGCTCAAATTCGTTCCAAATTAATTTTCTATACGTTTCAGGCCATTTTAAGCATTTTGCAAAAAAACGCGCGCACGCACATGCGCGCGCGTTTTCGCGCGTAATTGCATCTTCCAACATAGAATCGCCAAATTTTTTCTTTCATCATATTTGGCACATTTTTTCAAGCATTTTGATACCTTGTTCAACTTTTTCTGCCCATTAATAACGGAATGAGCGTCCGTTTAAGATAATTACCGTGCGCGCGAGCTTTTGTAATACATAGCATACATGGGCAAAAACATGCCTGTACAAAATCCATTGTAGCGCTTTAGGATGTAAGGTGACCCCAAGTTTTTTTTTCATATTTTGATAGAGTATGAATCGGAAATATGATTTCATGTTTCATTTGACCCTCAATTAACTCATGACGTCATCATAATGGCCTCCGAACTCAAAATTTCAATTTTCATATTATGACGTCAGCAGATTTTTGGAAAATTGATTGTATCTCTGCAAATGTTGATCAATTTTCCTTCAAATTTTGATATGTTCTACCTTATAATATTCTCTACAAATGCAGTCACCACGATATTTCATTTTGACAAAGGCATCATGGCGTATTTTTGCGATTAAAGGAGGCATGTCAATTTTTCACATTTTGCGTGTATTCTCTATGGGACATGACTTTTTCTCAAAACTGGATTCTACATTTTCGTCTTTCGCGAGCCATATCTCCGTTGTTTTATCTTTGTTTACGCTGAGCTTTGAGTATGTTGTCGCTGAGACAATAAGCTATCACGAGTGTGCCCTTTATTTCTCGATCAGATGCCGGGACCATGCTCATATCTCACTTACAATGTGGGATTTGATAATTCCATTTTCCGTTTACGTGTAATCTCTATGGGAAATGTTTTGGTATATCGGTAACGCACTTGACTTCCGACCTCGAGGTCCCTGGTTCGAGTCCGGGCGTCTCCAATAATTTTTTTTCTTCACTTTTTTTCTTTTTGACCTTTCACTGTACTATCTCCTTTGAATATTAAAACACATAGAATCGCAAATAATGTAATAAACAACCATATTTACTTTATTATTACCCTATTATCACTTGATCTATTACTTTTTGCGTGTAATCCTTAAGGGAGATGACTTTTTCTCAATCTGGATTCTACATTCATGTCTTTTGCGAGCAATATCACCGTTATTTCAGCTCGATTTTTGTTGATTTTTGAGTATGTTGTAGCTGAGACTATACACTATCTAAATGTCCCCTCATTTTTTTCAATCAGATGTCATCATGGTCTGTTGATGATCATCAACATCACCATGATCATCATCATCGTCATCACCATTACTATCAAGATCATCATCATCATGATCATCATCATGATCATCATTGTTTACATGTCTATATAACTTCTACCTTTTTCAATATAGTACATATTATAATCTATCATTAGACTTGAAGACAGACCACCTTATTCGTCCTCGTGACGAATTAAATTCTAGTTTTAATTCTAATTTAACTAAAGTCTAGTGAAATCTTTACTCCAGGGAGCTCCATCACCGAAGCCCTTCGGTGGCCGTAGGCGGAGCTCTCTGAAGCATAAACATGGAGTTAGTGAAATCTAAACACTGTTTGGGGTTTTGCAGTTTATTGCAGGAGTTGTTGTTTTGGCTGCTTACAGCTTAGCCTGCCCTTGAAATAAAAATGAAATTTTCAATTCTAAATTTATTAAATCCGACAGCCAAGTCCAAATAACCAAATTCACTACAGTATTTCACTCCAGCAAAGCATAGACTGATATAGACCGAAAGCTTCAGTCTCTGATATCGACGGTTGTTCTGCTGAAATTGCATCTGGCTCCTCTGACCGCCTCTATACATAGACTGCAGTACGTCCGATGGTGACTGAGTGGAACAAATGGTTCAGTTTGACAGGACCGCGATGAATGAGATATGCAACAAAATTTTTACTCTTTACATCCTCATATATTCACTTTGGCTGTAAAATTACATTTGATTATATTAAAAAGTAAAAAATAACACAGAAATATCTACTTTGACTAACGATAGCTTGCTCATTTAGATCCTAAATTAACAAGTCAACGCAAAGCGTAGCATCCCCTCGCAGGGTACAAATGACCTTTATACAAATGTGCATCAGGACAAGTTACCTCCATTGGACTATACTATTATATTACTAGGCAAGGAAGTTAACCACATTTTCACATATATAATTAGGTGTTTTTGCATATTTAATGAGCTATGACCTTTCACCTTTGACTTACATACTTGGAAATTGAACTTAGACTGTCTTTTGATACTATGTACCTTAATATCAAATTTCATTAAAATCTGTCAAACATTACTCAAGTTATCGAATGGAAACCAGATTCGCATATTTAATCATAATGAGCTATGACCTTTGACCTCCATACTCCGAAATCGAACTTGGGCTGTGTTTTGATACCATGAACCTTCATATCAAATTTCATTAAAATACGTCAAACATTACCAAAGTTATTGATCGGAATCCAAAATTGTTATGGACGGACGGACGCATGGTAGGACGGACGGCAGTGTTTCTATATCCCCTCCGACTTCGTTGGCGAGGGGATAATGATTAATCCGAGAAAGTCTCGTAGTCAACATGATTCGTTGTCAGCCATCTTGGTTTTAGTTGATCAATATTCATTTTTTCATTTCGAACGTCCAATAGCTACGTACGAGTCAGCCCGGCTTGACCAGGTGACATATGAATATTCATAAACCCAATATTAAACGAGTGCTCTAATTGGCCATTGGCTATGTTTTGGTAGGTTGACCCGGAAATATATCGGCCGGGTCATGTCATAGATTACCAGAATGAATGCATGAACGTACCGTTTCACGGTTCTGAAATAAAAATGGATAACTCATACACGTAATTCCGTAAATTTCACATTTGAAAATAAGTCATAAAAACTGTGAATAGGAGAAAAATATAGGGTCTAAAAAAATTTTCTATTTGCTTTATAAATCAGAAAATTAGATCTTAATATCGAAAATCGGGGGAGCAGATTTCAGAGTAAAAAGAGGTACAGAATGGACGTGTGCTGTAAATCAGACGCTATGTTCGTGTTCGGTTCGGTTCGGCAGAGTTCAGCAATTTTTCACCCGAACTTGGTTCGGTTCGGGGTTTGGTAATATGATAGCAAGCAGCGTTATAGCCACGGCGGTCGGCACCCGGCGGGCCGGCCGGCCAGGCCCGTCCAGCACGGGGGACTTCTTCCCACTCGAATTTCACATTAAAAAACTGCTCTTAACGTCATTATTTGTGAAGAATAGTACTACTTACATTCGTATTTCCGTCTTGAATCGTGTTTTGTTTTCAATTTGTCAATAAATAATATTTTTTAAAGATTTTCGGAGACGGTTGTTGTCTAATGTCATGAAAGCTGCCATCTTGAATAGAGACTCAGGCTCGTCGATCACTGTTTTTTTATAAGTGTTTATTTTCGATAGGAAAAATATAAAATCCCTATTTTTCCTGAATAAATAAATACCATACTATAATATACATTTATTTCATTATTCATATTGTGAAATTTGTCCGATATTGTTACAATTAAAATATTATTTTTTTTGTTGAATGGGTTTGAGCTGAACTTTTTTTGATCACGCACATGTATTCTTGTTTATGGCTTTTTTGAACTTCAGTTCGGTTCGGCGGTTCGGCTACAGCACTAGAAAAGGCTCAATCTATCCCCCCCCCCCCCCCCCCCCCCCCTGTGTGAGTCGTCTGGGTTACCATCTGTGTATGGGGAATGTCAACAAATGTCAGTTTTATTAAAGAAATGACCCATATCAGACGGTTATTTCTGTCTAAGACTGATAGAGAGCCCCCCCCCCCCCCCCCACTCAGTGTTATTTAGGGTACACATATGCTTGTTCCCTCTTTTTGAAAGCACCCCCTATCTGAGGACTGCCGAAATTTATGGATGCCCCTTATGTGGGCTTTTCCTGCCCTGTCTCAGCAGACCAACCCCCCCCCCCCCCTTACTCAGATAAGCTGTCATTACTGGTTGGCTCACACACCCAGAGAATACCCTCAAAGAACTCGGCCTGCATTACATACATTTAGCACATGAAATACATACAAATTTCTGTGCTCGTGTTTTCATTCATACCTTGTAAGAATAAACAAAGTCTGCAAATTAGTTCTATGCTCACTTATCTGCATAATATATCACCACCGAATAATTACTTTAGTGCCTGATATTGAGACTTAGTTAGAAATAAACCTTCCATTATTCTTAACTGACATCACCTGTGCCTGCATGACTGTGTCCTTTCACATACTAATGTACCTGTCATGATCAATGACTTATGTAATCAAACTCTGTAACTAAGTACTTTATCCTCGTAGAGATACTCTTTAGATTTAATGAATCAGTAATTACTGCTATTTAATTTTAGGTGTCATCAATTGTCACTAAACTAAAGTACCGATTTTTAGTTAAATCAGTTGAGTTTTGTACAGTGGTGTTTGAAATGTTGAGAATATAGGTTCAATACACAGGACACAGCCAGGATAGTAATGCAGCTGTGTGTGAATTAGACTACAGTATAAAAATAGTCTACATCAGTCCCTGGATTTGATTGATTTTTCTATGTTCAAGATATTTTATAATCCCCTTTTTTAATTTCTCAGGAGTCCAAAGAGATGAGAGAAACAAGAAAAAACACCCCCTTCTTAAAGAAATCTCCAGGTGAAAAGTCAAATACACCCCCTATTTTTAGAATTCTCAGGCCGGACTTTGTCGTACGAAAAGTACCCCTTTACCGGACATTTTGGTAACACGCATGGTGTCCCTCCGTTTTCGGAATGGGGGGGGGGGGGGGAGCAGGATAGAGAGTCAATGCTAATGCGTATTGACCTTGGCTATTTAGCACTGCTATGTGTTAATACTTTAATAGGCAGAATTGCACACACAAATAGTCCATACACACCTAACAAATGAATGCACGCAATAAAGACGATGCGAAGTGGCTGATTGGCAATTTGACAGTAAGCCCAAGCTTAAAAGTTTTAAATTATTCTTTCTAACATAGATCTGCAAGTTGAAAAAATTGTATTTTACTGCTATTTTAGACTAGTAGTAGGTGTCATCAATTGTCACTAGTCTAGATCTAAAGTAAAGTACCAATTTTGAGTGAAATTGGCTGAGCTTTGTACAGTGCTGTGTGAAATGTTGAGAATCAATAGCACAACTTTTAATACACAGCCAGGAGGCGAGTTTGCTCAGTTAGTAAAGTGTCTGCTTGTCGAACCAAGCATGGAGATATATAGGTCTAGTCTAGATCTAAGAAGGGAGATCCCGGGTTCGACCCCCACCCAGGCAGATGACTGAAGTGTGTTAACGTTCCCCTTCCCTTGTTCATAGGCGCAGCGCACAGGTTATGTCAAGTGGAAAACACTACGTCCCTCGGATAGGACGTTAAATGGAGGCCCCGTGTACAGGAGAGTCACCACCCTTGCAAAGAACCCATTCATTGCACTATTTGTAGCTATAAATTATAGCTAGAGGTCTAGTAAGTAGTATAATCTAGACCCTAGTTTAATGGTCCACATGCACAGCCCAATCACTCAGGCCTAGTACTGGTATAAGGCATCTGCAAGAATCTTCAGTATTGAAGGAGCTAGGAGTAGATCTAGGAGGCAGATTATCTTGAAGACGAAGAAGGATAGTAGCCCTAGCCCTAGTCTAGTCTATATTTGTAAACTTGTAAAGCGCTTAGCCTTAGCGACATTTTTGTAAAGCGCTCAGAGACATTTGTATTAAGCGCTAGACCCTCTATATAAAAATTGAAGGCGCCAGTGTAGTTCCGTGTCCATTTTTTAAGCAGTTTAATAATCCATTCTTAGGCTTAGCAAAGGAATTTTAGCCCAATTTTTTACTAATTTGAATCATAATCACATTTCTCGCATGCACGATACAATAAACCATACGAGAAGTTTGCATAATTTTGGACTGATAGCTTCAGTTTGAGTTGCAAAGCTATAGCGTAGAGACGGTACTGAGCGACAACATCGACATCGAAGCCTTGTTAAACGGAGGTTTCCCGATGTCGGATGTGATTCAAATTCAGGTGGAAAATGTGATATAGATCTAGATCTAGGTCTAGATCTATGTCTAGGTCTAGAGTCTAGACCTAGACCTAGACCTATGAATTAAAATTAGACTCTAACAAGTTAGACCTAAACTAGAGACTTGTTAGAGTCAAAAATTGGGCTAAATTTCCTTTGCTAAGAATGGATATGAAACTGCTAAAAAAAATGGATACGGAACTACACTAGCGCCAAATTAAATATTATTTATTGTAATTAATGCAGCTAGAATCTACATGTAGAGGTCTATGTGTGTGCAGTATACATCAGCTCAGTACTGACAGTACTCAGTAGGCCGTAGGGACTGTTGCGAAAATGCCCGGGAGTTCTAGGGCGGACGCTGCCCGTAGCTTCCGCTCTCGGCTCGCGCCTGTGCGTACCCACCCCGGCTACTCGAGCTCTCACTCTCAGAATCAATCTTTGTTTAACCTCCGGAAAAGTATTCAAACATCGAAAACCACATAAATATGACCTTATGAGATGAATACGAAAGTACGGAATAAATATGACATGTACTTACATGATTTCTACAGAAAACCGTGTCAAGCACCAAAGTTGGGTTCATCGTCACAGATAAAGTTGGGTTCATCGTCACAGATAAAGTCTATAAATATAGCGTTGTAGTTGTTTTAGTTGTATATATGCGCGCAGCTCAGAGCACGACAGTGCAATTAGACTCGTTCGCGAACTATCAATTAATTATTGACTATATCAACTTGTTATTTGTTTTATGAAACGGATTTTTTGTACTTCTATCGCAGATTGAATTCTTAATTAGATGTGTTATAGATATCAAATTTGTTATATTAATTTGATTCTGAGTTCAATGCTGCGGATATATTCCAGTCTCGTAAGACTTCTGGTGCGTTTGAGTCTTGAACAAGACTACCGCTTAGAAGCCGTTCTTAAAGAAAAAATCCGCAATTGCCAATGACTGCTTTGTGTCGATCACGTTGTCATTTAAGTACATAGGCAGTTTTTTGGTTAAAGTTCTATTTCAAAGGGAAACAATTATCTTCATAAGCCAAGTCGAATTCAGAAGAATGTTAGATGGTGCAGAGGTACAGCTCAATTAGACTATACAGTGATACTAACAAGAAGGTCAGTATAGCTAGAGAAACATAGACGAACATACTAGTACTGGTCATGATATAAATACTGATAATGAATATGATAATGATGACGATAAAAATAATAATAGTAATGATAATGATAATAATAACAACAATAACAACTTACAATAATGATAATAAACCATATGTTTGAGGCTTGTAGCTTTTCTGATGTCACTTCAATTCACGTACATTTGACAGTTTTGATTAAATTATATGCTCGATCTCGCCAGATCAGACATTGAATATACATTCTTCAAATTGAAAGGCTATTTATGTATTTGAAAACAAAATTGAATAGCGGAACTACAATTCCGATCGCCCCAAAATTAATACTGCTTGAACACTCATGCTGAGGATCATTTACAAGAAACATGATAGCATATATACCTCAAAGTTAATTGTGCTGAAAATAAAGTTTATTGAGGGGGTGCATTAAAAGAAAACGTATGGAGATAATGAATAATTATGCAAGGTAAACCAAATAAGCCCATATCTATACCATAGATAAATACCAAGGTTTGATTGTTCTAAAACGACTGCAGGAAATTCCTATTATTCGAATGATTTATTTAACATGAAATGGGTTTACATAAAAATCGTTAACATCGTGATATCCAATAATCATACGATTTGAATAGTTTCATATTATACACACTAAGCAGTGACAAACCCTACGCACACAACAGCTCTTACATCTATCTGTCACATATTGCAGCTATAATCTTCTATAGATTTCTTGTGTTAGAATATTCACCACATAATGTGTATAATTTTGTTAGTTTTACACTAAGTATTATGGAAAGACATAAGAACGTATTAGGTTCAACTTTGCATATGAACTGCATAATAAATAAATGGCAGGGGAAAAAAAATCTGAATTCGTCTAATTGCTACGCAAATTCTACCTTTAATTAAACGGAATTAAACGGCGTGATACACCCTTTCCTGCATGTAAAATACACGACGTGTAAATCGATTTCCACACAATCTGTCACGAATGGGATCCATCCTGAAAGGCAAAATGTGTATGTACGAAGGTTTATAGTTCGAGATGGTGTTATTGTCCTGTTTAGGTAGTTTGTTCAACTTTTTGTCTTGCGCTTTAAATTGATGATTCAAACTTTGTAGAGTGATAGTTCATGCCATTACATATTTTTAGAATCAATTTTTGAAACACGGTTACATTAAAAACATATTTTAAAAATTAATTAACCTAATCTATTTTGAAGAGCGCCCTCGCTTTTATCCTCGTATCGACGTACCTAATAATATTGCACTTTACTTTTGTCAGCCTTTTTTCTGGTCAATATAGAGGTTTCTTTCAGCTAGATTACTTTCGTGTGCATTCAACCTTCTTTTAAATTGGTCTTACAGCTGATTGGATTCAAATGTTTGTCCCTAAACGGAAAATGTGCTTAGATAGCGCATTGTTCTTAATGTTTGCCATGTTTTGTCAATGGAGGCTTCTTGTAGCCACTGCCCCCCTTTTAAATATAAGACGGATTATCTACAAACTATATTAAAACCGTGTAACAATTTAGGAAATTTATCAAGGAGAATTACAAAAAATGATTATAGATTATTGAAAATAAAATGTAGCCATGCCCATACATTCAGTAGAATTGCCTTAGTAAGATATATTGAATGTCTTAAATCATAGATGTAATTTTAATTTTAACGGGGCATTGCAGGAAAATGTGAAAAATAGTCTTTGACAAAATATTGTGCATCAGTTTATAAAATGTACATTGTATGAGGGATGAGGGGCAGCATTGTAATGAAAAGCTTGACAATTTTGGTCCTGGAATATAGTTTTTGATTTTGTTGTGGTTTTCATGACATGCAGTGAAATCACAGGGTTATATCAATGCCCTTCTAGTTCCCAATTTGCGACATATAGAGTAGAGAACACCGATGTGTTTTGAACAGCTATCATGTTTCTGTGGAGATCCAGAATATAATCTAGCTCTGAGCAGATGTTTTACTTTTCTCGGAATCTCTCAGCCCTTAGTCCAAATATTTTTACTTTACTTTAGCGGCGTCCTACCGGTTTCTCGTAATATGATGGACCAGGACTTCCCTCTCCAAATCTCAACAACCCATTTCACATCAAGTCTCTCTAAATCACACCAAGGCACAGCTGGCAGCCATTATACTTAAAGTATGTGGCGTCTACACTTAGGATCCAGCTGGCGAAAAGAGTTGGGGGGGGGGGGCAAATCTTGAGAAAACAATTTAGCGCCGACTAAGCCGGCCGGTGAAAAATGAAAAAACGGGGGGGGGGGGGGGGCTGGGTGTAGAAGCACATTTTTTTTTTTTGGTACAGTTTTAGAGGGAAAATTTAGCGCCGACTCAGTCGGCTGTTAATAAGCGGGAGGGGGGGGGGGGGGGGGGGGGTAAGAGCACATATATATATATATATATTTTTTAATATATTTTTTTTTGGCCCTATTCGTGAGAAAATATTTAGCAGCGATTCATCCAGTGGGTGAATACGCAGGGGGGGGGGGGGGTGTAATATTTGTTTTGATGTGGGCGCAATTCTTTTTTTTGGGGGGCGCCGCTTTTGTGTTTGTTTAAAAAAAGGGTTAAATTTACGTTATTATCCTATTTTTTTAAACATTTTTTTAGACTAGGGGTGGGGGGGGGGGGAGCCGGGCCCGAAAAAATCGCCACGTGGATCCGCGTCTGTCTACACTGACTTAATGGCACAAACGAACAATTCAAAGACATGAAATTGCAAAAGAATAAATCTCATCCAGTTTGAAGTACATCTAGTACAATACTGATAAAATCGTTTATTAAAGATATAATTCTTCTGTCAATATTGTTAGAAGAAACAAATTCTTGGTAATAATATAACGTCGGGTATTTAGGGTAGCTGAACAACAACAAATGTAAAAACACATAGATGTTTATACAGGCAAATAAAGTACAAAATGTACTCGTTATTACACATCACATGATTGGAATTAATATAAAGATGTCAATACAAGTTGATACTATGAAAGAGAGAAAAGACTAATGCACATGCCTCTCAAAAAAGACATACAAAAGACATAACCTCGCACTCATCAGAGCGAAACTGGAGAACATAGAGCCAAAATAACTATACTACTTTAACCCTAATAAGGCCGGGCTATTTGAGGTCTTAGTACGGCTGGGGGGGCATTATGGCCCCCTTAAGATCTCGGCCGCGAAGCGGCCGATCGCCGCGAAAATTGCACGCCTGTCAAGTGAAGTATATAGAATAATATGATAATTTCAATTTTTTTGAAAAATTCACTCATTTGCATATTTATGGTAATTTATGCAAATAAAGTCATACAAATCACATTTTTACCCATAAATCATATATTTATTCATATTAAGGTATTCTTTTTCACTACATATATTCATTAGACCATTCTGAATAATAATACGACAAAAATATTCGGAAGAGCCAGCTTATTCCTTATTTTATCCCTTGTTTTGATAATTTCTTATGTATTTCATTGTTTTTTAACTTATGTATTTCATTGTTTCTGTTCTTCTATTTCATTTCTTACTACAATTCAACTATTTTGACTCCCAAACAACCACCTTAACTTTAAACAAGACCCAATAACCCATGTCTGATCTGTTTTTTTTTTTAGGAAAAATGACTTTTCCATATGTTTTGTACACAAATCACGAAAATGAGCGATTTTCGGGCTGACATGCAAAGACAAAAGGTCATGTGACCTTGTAACCGTAGGTCCGGTTTTCAAAAAAATTCTTTTAAAAGTTGCGCAAGACTTGAAAGAAAAAAGTCAGCGAGCGGCGGGGCGCCATCCATATGCGTTCACGAGCAATTGGAAAAATCGTGGAGGGGGGGGGGGGGGCATAATGCCCCCCCGGCCTTATTAGGGTTAAGATCCTTTCCTATCCAATCCAACAAGTCTGAAAATTTGAGACAAAAGGCATCATTATGTAATTGCTGAACTAACCCAATTACACATTCCTCTATCGATTGATTTGCTTGAGAGGAATACCTATGGGGGGGGGGGGAGGGGTATCTGAAATGATATGTGACATCCCGTCAAGGAGTAAAAAGAAAAGTAAAGGAATGCAACATGACCCCTCCCACATATGCTCCAACTTGAGATTCCAGTTATCTGTCTAAACAATTAATTCAATTAATAAGAGCAGCAGCCCTCCCCCATGACATCAGTGCCCTCTCAGTAACTCAACCCATGCTAAACTATTAACACTACCGATTAATTATCAAAAACTAAGATCATGACAAGATATCAGTTGAAAAGTCTTAAACTGCCTATAACAGGAATATCAATTATTTAAGTTAAACATACACTGTACATGCACAATGTATTTTCTGAGAAGACTGTAGGTACTTGTTTAACCTTTTCCCTCATAAAAGATAGAGAGATTATATAAAACTTGCACACCAGAGAATTCGAAAATTTACCAGCAATTACCCTTAGCTTAATTACCTAATGTGATGGGTGTATTTTTGCTACCAAAGAATACATGCCAAAATAAAATCAATATGATTTTAAAGAATTATATACATTTGAATGTGGGCAATTCAACTAAAATTGACCATGAGCCGAACTCATGAAAATTGGCAATGACTTCAAAAATATATATTTCCTATAATGACAAATTTAGTACCAAACACAGGGAAAAGGGTATAAAAAAGGAAAAAAATCACCCCGTTCTTTTCTTTGAGTAAAATAATAATATTGAAAATTGTTTACGCATGACTTTTCATTGGGTTAACATCTAGCAAGAACTTTAGTAACCCAAAAATGCTCCAAATAGAAATTGTATAGCAATTGTAAATAGTATAACCTTATGTTTAAACAATTATGTTCAGAGTATAAGCTTTTGTTGATACCTAAATAAGACATTACTTATTGAGCTCTAAAACTCATACAGTTTTGAATTAAACCGACAATGGGTAATGAAAGAAATGAAATCCCATCGCAAACACAAATAAAAGCAGTCACAAAAAGTCAACACCACCCTCTCAGAAAATACATGCCTATAATTGTGATTTAAAATTCTGTAATAACCGATACATTGGTTAATTGGTGTGAAAAACCTAAATACAAGCTAAACATAATGAATAAAAAGATTGATTAAAGGTAGAGACCAGTAATGGTCATGCGATTGCATTGTGAAAGAAACGTGGTGGAATCGATCAGAAAAGGTTGATCATCTAGCATCTAGCATCTGCAAAGTTCTGGAATCATCAAAATGATAAGAAATTTGGCCCATTCTTCGTAAAGTTACAAGCACTATACACAGAAAGATGTATATGGGACTACCCTATATCTCTCACACGACCACGAGAGAAACAAATTTACCAAATATATGAATTAGTAGGCGGTTCCCGGCAAATTTTTTATCATCATGTACATGTATTAGTCAAAACATATTCTCTCACATGATTGGTAATGAGAGCTTCCATTTCATTTTTTGAAATTGGGGCGTGTCCAATGCTGGTCTTTACCTTTAAAAAGATACTTCATTCTGAGATGACTCTTTTGTAATTAATCAAAATTGTAATAATAATCATAATGCATGTAAGTACTTTAATTGCTGATTTAGAGAGAAGGAGAAAAAGTACATGAGAGGGGAGGATAAAATAATGAAGAATGGAAAAGAGAAGAATGAAAAACAATAATATGGTAAGCAAAAATAAATAAATACAAACATGACAAAGATAATTAAAATCACAGTTAGTTGTTAAGGAGTCGTACGATAAAGGGAATAATTGAAGTGCGGTGTCTCTCAGTTCTACAATGGGGTACAGTTATGTGTAGAGAGTTTCAGAGTTCATGGCAAGAGGTTTGGCGACGAGTTGGCGGTAGAACATAATTCGATCTCGTGATGACTTAAACAGTTTGAGAGAAAAGGATTCAAGAAGGGCAAGACGGCAAGAAGTTAGACTCTGGAGAGAAACGAGTGGTTTCATACAACTGTTCTTATCCAAGGATAATACAGCAGACACGTTTCTGCACTTTCTTCAGACTGCAAGATAACTGTTCGGGAAATTGATGTGGACCAGTGGCGTAATGAGCAAAAACGTTTGGGGGTGCTGACAAAAAGAATCCGCAGCACCCTACTCTAACATGCAGGCCCCGGTGAACGTTTCGCAAAGTGGGGTCTAGGGGCAAAGCCCCGGCGGGGGTCAAGGAGTGGAGCCCCCAAAGCTCAAGGGGTATGGGCATCAGTGGCGGATCCAGGAATTTCTTACCGGGGGGGGGGGGGGCACAAAATGGCATGGCGTTAAATATTATGTAAAACGATGAAGCGACAGAACGGGGCTTTAGCGGCGAGGGAGCGGAGCGACCAAGCGGGGGTGGGTCTGGGAGGGGGTTCTGGCCCCCTCCCAGAGTAAGAAGCATTTGCAATTTCAGAACCAAATTAGACGCATTTTCAGTCACTTCCTGGAGTAATATGACGTAAAATTGCTTTCTCCTACCCCTTCCAAGAGTAGGGATCTTTTGCAATATGACAACCACATTTGGCGCATTAATGTCCACCTGCACTTCCTGGAAAAAAACGAGGCCTTTTGATTGGTTACAAGTTAGAGAAAAGTGATCTGTCACGTCTTGAGACGTTGTATATGCTTTGATGCCGCACAATGCACAAAGTCGGTGGTCCGGTACTTCATCAGTGAAGTACTTGCATACATGTTCTCGAGTGTATAAACTGTGTCGTTATCAGGGGCGTCGCTAGATCTTTGTCAGCGGGGGAGTGGGGAGGGTGTAGAGGCCACCGATAACCGACAAAACGAGCACCCAATTACCGACAAATATATTAATGCTAATGTCCAAATGTCTACAAATTTAACCCTATACACCCGGGGCCAGGAACTAAGTTAATTTTCGGTCTCCATCCTCTCACGCGAAGCGCGGAAACTTTGACACTTCATTAAATTATTAGAGAAAGAAGACGACCTGTTGTACCGTTCTCGACTCTGAATTCTTGTTTGGATCCAGTTCCCCCACCCCCCTCCCAGCCGAAGCGCGGAAGCTTTGACGTTTCAATAAATCATTACTCTCAATCCTTGTCTGAATTCGTTTTGGCCCATCCCGCGCAAAGCGCGGAAGCTTTCACGTTTCATTAAATTATTAGAGAAAGAAGACGATTCGTTGTATCGTGTTTTTGTCTGAATTCAGTTCCCCCCCCCCCCTCCCGCGCGCAGCGCGGAAGCTTTGGCACTTCATTAAATTATTAGAGAAAGAAGACGATTCATTGTACCGGTTTCCACTATTAATCCTTGTCTGAATTGATTTTCGCCCATCTCGCGTAAAGCGCGAAAACTCTGACGTTTCATTAAACTATTACTCTTAATCCTTGTCTGCATTCATATTCTCCCATTCCGCGCGATGCGCGGTAGCTTTCACGTTGCATTAAATTATCAGAGAAAGAAGACAATTCGTTGTATCGTGTTCTTGTCTGAATTCAGTTTCCCACCCCCCTCACGCGTAAAGTGAGGAAGCTTTGGCACTTCATTAAATTATTAAAGAAGGAAGACGATTCGTTGTACCCATCTCGACTCTTAATCCTAGTCTGAATTCAGTTGCTCCCTCCTCCCCCCCCCCCTCCCCCGAAGCACGGAAGCTTTGCCGTTTCATTAAATTATTAAAGAAGACGATTCGTTGTACCAACTCTTAATCTTGTCTGAATTCAATTTCCCCACTGGGCCCTATTAACGGTACATAATGCAGTGTTACATGATATGTCAGTATGGAACGCCCGGCAGTGCTTGTCACAGTTGCTTCTGTAAAGGATTTTTTTCTTCTTCTAGTGTTACTGTTAGTGGCCACGGCCCCTTAGTGACTGTAAAAAACATATGCTTTTCCTGGCCATTTGTGAATGTGTCAGTTTGCAACAGAAATGGAGAAATGGGCATTTTGTTGAAAATCATGTGATATCACCAACATTTATACATGACTTGTAGATCTATATGGAATTGAAAATAAGTCATGGTTCAATTTTATTTGGGGGGGCTGGCGCCCCCCCTAGCTCCCCCACCAGTACGCCAGTGATGTGGACCAAACTGAAGAAGCGTATTCTAGCGAAGATCGGATATATGTCGAGAAGATGTCTGCTAGATCTTCACATGATACTCTGAGATGTCGTAAATGTATAGTCGCTTGCCGGCACTTGATATCGTATCAAACACTTGGAAATTCCATTTGAGATCTGACTGTAATATAACTCCCAGAATTGTCGGAGTGGTGCAGTTTTGGATGGCCTTGTGGTCTAGGTGCAGCATTTGAAGGGCTGGTTGGATACACTTGAGGAAAACTTACTTGGATTCGGTTTTGAACTGCTCACGTGAGTAAAATTCCTTGTCCATTACTAGCTAGTACTTCTGTACTTGTCATGTCTAGTATAGTTGCACAGAGTCCAGTTTCTCTCCAACTATTCAGTTACATACTGTGCAATGCAGTGAATGCTCCTGATGGTAAAATGTATCTAAATCACTGACTGTTCTTGCCCCTGTTAATTCTCCCGCAAGATGTCTGAAATGACCATGGTTATTTCAGAATCGCATGTCTTTTCAACTGGAGTTCACCATTCTTTGGGATGTGCTGTTTTGTTTTGGGGAAACCAGGTGAATATTGTTCCACTGATAACTTTGGTCGAGCCATTTGATGCAGTGTTGAAGTTGTTCCTTTGCTAGTAGCTCTATCAAATAAAAGAAACAAAAGAGAAAAGAAAAAATTCATTAAATTTTGATAAAAAGTGAAGGAATAATGTAATAATGGATGCTGAGCTTGAGCAAAGCTGCAAAGGAGATAAAAAAAAGGGACACCAATCAGACTACTGTAAGATAATTTTTCATTTCAACACTTCGACACACATTTCCTAACGTGCTTGAGGCTCTATTTTGTTTCCTTTGCAGGACTTTATCTGTTTCAAAGTATTGCAGACTGCTAGCCTCAACTTATCTTCACATTACTGATTTTTTTATAAATAAATAGTGTATAATATAGGCTTAAACACTATCATTTTAATCTTGAATAAATATCCTTTTTACTTTGTACAGATTAATGTGGCACATTTAAACATTAATATGAATATCATAAGTACGTGTTTCTTCTAAATGATCCAACAGATGCAATACTAATTGGTAAAGATTGAAAATTACAGATCTTGAAAACAGTCCAACATGAAGAAAACTGCACGTTCTCGCAAAACAGTTAATGTTATGCCTCAACAATAACGTTTGCTGTAAAAAGTGTGTGACTCTTTCAACACTCTATGCTAGTGGGAGGTGGGTCCGCCAAAACATACAGTATATCTTGAGATCAAAGTATCATTAGATTAAATTTTCATTCCTGGATTTTGAACAGTTTTGGGTTTCAGAGATTAAAAAATAAAAAATGAAATCCCTCCATTGTGTAAATTCTATAACGTTATCTGTATTAAACAATGTGAGAGTTTTTTCTATTGGCATAAAGAGAAATCCTTATGTGACCTTTGACCTACTTACCCCAAAATATAATCAGATTGTTTTCCTAAAGTGATACATACTATTAGCAGGTTTGAAGTTCATACCTCAAATGATTACTAAGATATCGCAATTACAAGGCTTAAAACGCATTCATTAAAAAAAAAGTGGCAACAACCAAAGGAAATTGGAAATGCCCTTTAGGCTCCCTGCACCAAAAGCAGGCATGGTGTTAGGACTTGTATGTGACAGAAGTAATTGTGAGGCAAAAGAAGCTGTGAAGGTGGAAGGATAGCGAGGATATCGTACATGTTCAAGAATGTCAAATGCAATCAAATCTATAGACGAAACTTAAAACAGAATTGGGTGTACAGAATCATGCTACTTGTATGACATCAAAGTATGACCCCCCCCCCCCATGCCCCATGCTAAAACAAAATACACTCAAGTGTGAAGATGCAAGGAAATTTATAAAATTGACTTAATCTCTGGGAAAATCACAAATGATTGGAACACTGGATGTAGAATCAGGTGTATAGGATCATGCTACTTGTATAGCGTCAACGTATGACCCCCGCCCCTGATGATTATATGACTGAGAGTACGTCAACTGTGGTCACTGCTGTCAGTGAGACAGCCCCACATTCCCATTGCTGCTTTAATGTACTTACCACAATATGTAATTTCTTTCATAGCAGGTAATTAGGAGGCAAGTGGTTGTGTCTAAGGGTTGAATAACAGCTTCAATTGAGGCGAAGTGTCCCCAGTGCTGTCAGCTGCACCAGAATCGGGCACGGTGTTTAATGGGACTTGTGACAGAGGTAATTGTGAGGCAAAAGAAGCTGCGAAGGTGGATGGATAGCGAGGATCTTCTACATCTTCAAGCATGTTAGGTTTTCTGTTTGTATTAAAAAGATGCAATATGAAAATAAAATTAAAATATTGCTAAAACGGCATTCGATCACTCCAATTTGAAGATGCAAGCGAATTTATAAAATTGACTTAAATAATGTTTGGAAAAATCACAAATGATAGGAACCACTGGATGCAAAATTGGGTGTATACGATCACCCTACTTGTAGGTGCAAAGTATAACCCCCCCCCCCCCTCCCCCTTATGGCTTATATTCATGACTGAGAGGTCAACCTTGATCACTGTTGTCAGTTTAAGGGTTGAATAACAGCTTCAATTGAGGGTTAGGGGGGGGGGGCTAAGTTTTCAGAGGGGGGGGGGGAGGGGTGTAAAATGTCCTTTTGCGGTAATTTTCAGGGGTGATTGTCCGGGGGGGGGTAATAGTCTATAGAACCCTATAACAACATTCACTCCAATGTGAAGATGCAAGCAAATTTATAACACGACTGGGGAAATCGCAAATGATGGGAACTACGTACTACACCAATGCAGAATTAGGTGCATAGGATCATTACCCCCCCCCTCCCTCCCACTATAAATAGCTTTCCCTGAATTGTTCAACTCAGTACTACTGTATACGCCCTTTGCTTGTTCGTATTGTTAGATTACAACAGTAATTACCAAAACAATAACATTTTTTTTCTTCAAAAATAAAGTTGGGCCAGTGTATGATCCTAAGAAACAATTTTACCCCCAAAAAATTACATTGATAACTCATTTCAATGAAAACGTATAAAATCTGATTGATTAAAATATAATGAAATTATAACATAAAGAACAATTAATATATTCCATCTAAAAAATATTCAGTGAAAAATCCTGGTAATTATGTGTTAATGGCCAAGAACATGCTGCCTGCACCATAATGCATCATCATTCCATTTTGCCATTTAATTGAAAAATAGATAGTTTTTTTTTCAAATCATGTGATGTGTATTTCTAACAATGAGTTATTCCTATTATTCTCTATCTTTATGAAAAAGAAAAATAATAATTGCAAATTACAATGGATGTGGCTCTTTTACTTGTCCTTGCATGGCCCTAGCTTGATTTCCTGCAGGGTACTTTGTGCCAAGTTATTTCTCAAAGAGTGGAATTGATGTGAGGAATATTGCCATTTTCAGTAGGGGCACTGCATGGTCTGAGAATGAAGATTGTCCGCATAAACGAGAATATCCTGGTAAACGCGGACAAGTCTCGCCCTAAGAAATAAGGATAGTCTGCAATTTTCACAGACGTTTTTTCTTCTTCGGTGCTCTGTGGGTACAGGGTTCCTGATCCGCGTGCTGGCAATTAATGCGAAAAACGGATTCCGCGTAATAAAATACCCCAGTTCACCGTCTACTTTCTATGGGTTGTCCGTCTTCCCTAGGATTTATTGTTCATCAAAGTGAAAGTCTCTGCGTAAGTGTAAAATGCATTATGGAGCATCATCGCGGAATTTGTTTTTCGCATCACCAACGCACGGATCAGGAATCCGGATCCTTCACGAAAATGTGAATAATCCTTATTTTTCTGAATGCGAATGGTCTGCGTTTACGAGGGTATTGTCGTTTATGCGGACGATGCTTATTCTCGTACCAGCACGGCCCCTACTGATTTTGTGAATTAACCATTGTTGTTGTTTTTTATCGTGTAGGCCTATATAATCTACAGACATGTGCAAGCATTGCGCACAATGAACCGTTAGGCTATACTGTGCAGAGTCCTTGAATGAGTGGTGGAATATTTCACAAGCATGCCAAGAATTGTAGACAATATAGTCATCTTGACTTTAAAATAATTATTTTTAAATGAAATACCTACATAGTACATTGGCTATATAGCGCCAAACATGCCAAATGAGGAGAGTGAGCAGCACAAATAGCCGCAGTATCATCAAGTTTTGCCCAAAATTTCGTTGAATTTTCTGTTAATCTAGACTAGACAGAGTCTATCATAAAGTCTATCGATGCGCAAACGCTAGTGAAACAAAGTGCAATGGAATAAAATCAAGCTTTCAAGGGGCATTTTTTCAGTTTTTCGACGCGATTTTGAGCTGTGAGTGTGAATCAGATGAAATTAAATAAGAGAACTGATTTTTTTAAGGTTATTTAAACTGTAGTATGATTTTGAAGCATCATAATGATTTAGATCTATATTCAATATTCAATTGAACAATAATTTACATTTTCTCCTAGACCTATTTATAATTTAGTAGGCCTAGATCTAGATCTAGGCTACCGGTATTTGTTTTGTAGACCTAGAAAGTAGAAATCTACATGCATGTGTGGAAAAGTAATATAGGAAATCCAATGAGTTTTATGACGTCGATACCGGTTAATTAATGGCTAGACCTTATGCATTGAAATTATGGGAGTGTGAAGTGGAATTTGGTATGCTCAAGTTGGATGAATTTTGATTGTACAACACTTTTTCGTAGAAAAATTGCCAACGCACACACACAAATAACGATAGAATCACACACAGAAAAGTTTATATTTGGGACTATAGATAGGTCTAGAAAAATCTATTCATGAAATACAAAGGCAAATGGTTTTCAAACAATATTAATCCTTATAATTAGACTCCCCTATTATCGATTATTCCTCTGACTATAAGATGAATATCTATATATTTAAAACTTACGGTATACATTGTAGATATTTTTGGAGTGAAGACAATTAAGGAACCACCAGCAGGGCAAGGCTAGCTGCGCCGACCAGCTGAAACTGTAGCTGATGCTAGCCGCAGGTATACGGTATGCGAGCTCTGGCGCAGGCGGGTCTAGCGGCGACGCCGGCGGTCGACGCCAGTCCTGGGCGTACTGCAGAGAGCTAGCTAGCCCTGCCAGCTAGGCCGGACCCAAGGGGAGCGTTGGGGTTCATGCCCCCTTTTCCTTCCGAAAAAAGCCAAGAATTTTCAAATAAATGTTCAGTTTACGCATTCAGAAATGCCTCAGAATGTACCATAAAGTACCCTTTGGCCCCGGACCCCACGCCGATTTAACACTTCATGCCCCTCCTTTAAAAAAAAAACTCTTGGATCCGCCGCTACAGCGGGTCGAGCATGCAGGATGTATTTCGCATGGGCTGCCTGATAATACGCACGCGTATTCCGCACAAGCATTCCCAGCAACTTACTGTTACAGAATATAATCTAAAGGCGGCGATCTACAGTAGCTGAGTAGCGCGCGCGCGCTGGAAGACTTGTTTCCTCAGTATCTTACTGGGTCATCACTATATTCTAGGTGACAATATAGTTCCAGTACATGACTATTGCAACTATATCACCTAGGTTATCAGATTATATTCTGCTCTGATATTAATCAACCACATTGGGTAATCCGCTACGGTACTTTGCTGGCTCGATTATTGGTATCAGGTGTCTTTACAGAGTATTATTATGGTACTATACTGGGGGTGTGTGCAGGTGGACCACTACACCGGGGTTTTCCCCTACTCTTATACGAATAGTGCAGTGGATTCTTAACGTGCAAAGGAAGTGACTCTTCTATACGCGGGGCCTCCATTTAACGTCCTATCCGAGGGACAGAGTGTTTTCCATTTGACATAACCTGCGTCTATGAACAAGGGAAGGGGCACGTTAACACACAACGCAGGCTTCAGTCATCCGCCTGGGTGGGAGTCCAACCCGGGATCTTTGGTTCGACAGACGGACGCTTTACCGACTGAGCCAACTGGCCTCTTTATACATGTCTAAATACTTATACTTATTTCGCTTTTTATATGTAAATCATTCAATCATTTAATTCGAATGGTTCACAAATTACTTATTTCTTCTCACATATCGTTCACTTTCTTTCATAATATAAAAATATTCAGGTAAACAAAATGTCATATTGCATACAAATATATACACATTCAAGTGCCATATGCGGTTTTTGTTCGTGGGAACAGTGTCTGATAAATGTGTATATGACCCCGTGACGTGAGTGATAAAGTAAAAGTGAAAAATACACTCAGCTAATTAAGAGAGTGGACACTCTGCATTGTTAGCACTTTTCATGTAAACCGTCATTAAATTTAAATGATATTTATATCAAATTAATACTCTATTTTTTGATGGGCACATTCATTGAACAGTTAGAAGGTCTGATTAAAGACATTGCAAAAACATGCAGAGCAGGCAGTCATTCAAAATTAATGTGCATCTGTAAGACATTCATGGTCAACAATGAAATCAAAGAATGAGAACAATGAGGAGGATTGAGCTTTTGGTGTCAACTGTAGTCTCAGGACTACATGGTTTTGACAAGCAAGATCAAGATGCTTCTCCTTTCCACCCAGGATCGTGGACGAGTCACGTGATACCTCCAATGCTCGTCAACATTGCAATGACCAAGTGCCCAATTTTGTAATTTTCTTTCAGGGGCTCATTCATGGTTAAATGGTTATACTCAATCATGTATGTATGGTATGGTTCCAATTACATATCAGGATTAAGGTTTATTTTCAAATTATGAAAGAATTGTTTAGGCTAAATATTTATTTTAAAATCGTGTCCACTTTCTTTTGTGCTGTGTACATATCAGGACATGCCTTGTCTTGTTTGCTCGTGAAAGGAGGGGTGTTCACTCCACATTGGCAAAGCCGGATTCCCAGAACCTGAAATTGAATAAATTGAATGTACTCTTGTTTGAAATCTAATTTCTTTGAAATAAAACGTTCGTTGTGATATATTGTTTGAAATATGCTATTGTTTTGATAACCATATATTCTTTTGGTTTGAAATGAACCTTTTCTTTGATATTCGATTTGTGAGGTATCCTACGTATTTAGGTTATGATTTGTAGATAAATTAGTATGTTTAATAATAAAAAAATAACGTTTTGGGATCTGTTTGTCTGCTCGTCTGTTGCTTGTTTTTTTCATAATATACAAATGCAATTGGATCCAGCTTTAAAGGTGGCAGGTGAGCTTTTCAATTCTCAGTTAAACCATGGATAAGGTTCCTTACATAGCAAATGTTGCGGGGTTGCTGGAGAGAAGAATTGTATACACGTTTGAAAATGTATACACTGACTCCACCGAGAGAGAATGTGATCATAATTTACCGCACCCCCTAAACATAGCTTCGCTTTAGGAGCCATATTACTTGTGTAGCTCACCACCCGTCTTAGAAATTAGGACCAATTTACCCCTATCGATCGCAAATTTACAATAGGCCTATGCTAAAAAGAGACTTGCGATAAATTTTAAGTTGATATTGATTCGAATCAGTCGCAACGATTTATGAACCCGACATAATAATAATAATGATCATGATGATGATGAGGATGATAATAATAATAATATTAATAATAATAATAATAATAAACAATAATAATAAAATAATAATGATAATGATAATGATAATAATGATAATAAGTACAGTGTATAAGTAGATTCTTATATAGCGCACTATTTTCAAAGTCTCTTTGCGCTTTTCATGGAAACGCGTGTATTTATATTAACGCGCGTTTCAACGAGATGGTAAAACATTTGTAATTATGACGGTTTCACGACACGATGCCCAGGTCTCAAACACGTTTTCATTTTAGGTAATTCAGCTGATAGATACTGTAATATTTCAACTTTTAAACTTACCGTCATCCTCTTCACCACGAATAGACTCGAAACTGGTTTCAGAACTGGTTTTAGAACTGCTTTTAGAACTGGCTGCGCTGAACGCCCCCGATCCAAATAAGATCTGGAAATAAGAATGAACACAGTTCTATTATAGTTTTATTAACGAAAGGTGAGTATAATTATTGAAAATTGATTATTTTCATAAAATGTTAATAGATTGAGATCATAACTAGAAACAATGAAAAGTATTAAAACTCTGGTCTTTGCCAATAGTACAGTCTGAGATATAATAAGATTTCGGTACATCTTTTTCTTTTGCGAGGGGGAGGGGGGAGGTTGTTTGCATGTTATTGTTCTTTTTTCTTAACCAAACTTTAAATCTGGCTTAATTCACAATTGTGATAGCCTTGTGGCCCTGTTTTTGCAATCCGTATGTTACATTTTTTAAAGACATTTACTAATCTTTAAAATATTTTGTGGCTGAATGGCAGCCTAAATGTACTGCACTCTAATGGATAAACCTGTATTGTCCTAAGTCAGGTGTATAGACTGACATTCAAATTTCTCGCCTATTTCACTCCCTTTCCCCTATATTTTCTTTCTTCTTGTCTGTCTAAATACCAACAGTAAATTTCCATGACAACATCAATGTGCACATCACTCGTTTCTATACATCTGAAAATCTTTGGCACGTTTTTACGTGGTTCCACTATCATAATTTTAACGCCCGGTTTTGATTACAAACTCTCCTTTAATAACCGCTGATACCTTTGGTAAATATTTACACCGACGTGACCCACACGTCGTGAATCACCGCCTATTGTTACGTCACCGGGAGATGACACAATGTGATCCGGAGCCCGGTATGGATTCTCACTAATGGATTGATTTCGGATGTCCGTAGACTAATGTCAAATGATAAATAAGTGATTTGAAAACCGCGGTGGTTCTTATATCCGTTATGGCATACAGAAAGTATCGTAAAATGGTCTGTTTATATATTTCTTCTGAGTTTATTACTTAAATAATTGCTACTCGCATGCCACTACTTCCCTCTAATTTCTAAAATGAAACAAAAGAAAAAGTGCACGAGACAAGGCTAAGGATTATCGTCAAAAGCAATATGCCTCCATCTGTGATGGCCTTTACACATAAACAAATATTCAAAAAAACAATGTTTATATCTTTCTTGCGACTTCCAACGTAAACTCTCGCCCCGACTCTCGCATGACTGACTCTAGATCCCTCCAATTTAGAAAATAAAAATGGAAACAAATTGGAAGAAAATATGAAAATAAGAAGGATCCTGTTCCTTATATGCATCGCATTGTGTCGGCGCTGTAGATAGAAAGAAATAAACGCACGAATAGGGAACTAGTGTGTTTTTTTGTCAAATCCCTTTTATGGAAATCATAAAGATTATTGTGTTAGTTTACGCCCTCAACCCTCCCCCGCATTTTCACGGACCATAGTAAAATTGTGTTAGGATTGTGCAATTTACCCGTTTACTACTAAATTCTTTAATTCCCATAGAGCCAATAGAGTGATCACCTGGCTCCTAGAGGTAACGGGTAAAAATCTTCAAAGATAACTGATTACGTTTGCAGGTTTCAGTATAATTAGTGTTCGTCCGTATAGGAGCCATCTTGCGAATTTTAATTTTCACTGATTTATTATTAATACAAGGCACAGAAATTATATCCCGGCAACAATTGTGAAAGATTTCGTTGGTTATTATACCAACATGCTTCCCCCCCCCCTCCGTATCTCTCTATCTAGCTTATCTCTTGTTCATTCCCCTCTTGCCCCTTCTCTCTCTCTCTTTCTATTTATATCTCCTCTCTGTCTGTCTCTCTCTGTCTCTCTCTGACTCTCTGTCTCTTTCTTTCTCTCTCTCCCTTTTTATCTATATCATATCTCGTTCGCCTCTATCTCCCATTGTCTCTCACCCCCCCCCTCCCTCCCTCCCCTCTCCTCTCTCTCTCTCTTCTCCATCTTTCTCATATCTCGTTCGGTCCCCCTGTATCCCTCTTCCTATTCCAAGAAATAAAATTTCAATAAAACTATTAGCAATATGCCTGCGGCGCCAATGACGTAGTTTCTATCTATAGGGACGAAACAATGTATATATAACAGAAAATGGGTGTAACGACTGCGGCAGGCCAAAACAAATATCAGGAAAACCATGACAATACTAAGAGGCTGTAACTTGTTATGTACACAGTATTATATCAGGATCATAAATCTCTCGCTTTCATATCAGTTTAGTTCAGGAAACGTAGGCATAATGTTTTTACACCATCTTTCTAGAAAATAAGAATCTTAAGAAGTGTTGATGAATCCGAAAGAGGAAATGGTTCTCTGCGTTTCGATGACTTCACTTCGAGCGTCATTACAACAGTCAACAGTGAAACTGTATGCACACAATTCAAAGTATCGACAATATAAATTACCTCTTGGTGTA